CCGGCGGCGGCGAAGGAGGCATCAACGGCCGAGACTCTTCCGGAGGTGGCGGCGGCGGCGGGGATGATGGCGACATCAACGGAGGTTCGGACAATGCCGGCGGGAAGAACTTGGCGGAGGCCTTGTTGGTGTTGGCGGAGTCTAAGCGGGGCTTGGAGAGCTTGCCCAAGGACCTGGCCGCCGCGATCCAGGCCGGTCGGATCCCCGGGTCGGTTGTGAGCCGGTACTTCGAGCTGGAGAAGTCGGGGCTTTTCAAGTGGTTGATGCAGTTCGCTGGGTTTAGAGAGAGGCTGCTGGCTGATGATCTTTTTTTCGCTAAGGTCTTCATGGAATGCGGCGTTGGTCTCTTCACTAAGGTCTCTCCTTCCCTCTGTTTCTCCCTGTTTTTCTTTTTAAATTAAGCTGGTTTTTTTCTTTTCTTCTTTTAATCAGTTTTGTTTGGATTTTGTAGACTGCTGCGGAGTACCAGCGTCGCGGAGAGAACTTTTTCAATGAGCTTGAAGTTGTTTTTGCAGATGTGGTATGGATGCCTTTTGTCAAACACTTTACTTCGAACCACATTGCACATTGTTATCAAAGTTGCTTTCTTGGGTTCATAGTTGTTTTTGTATCTGTGTGTTGAGCGATTTTAAGGGGAAATCAATAATTGAGAGATGGTTCAAAGTGACCGTCTTTTTATTTTTGATTGATGATTTTTGTTAAATAGAGAGAGGATTAGAGTGTAGTGCGGTGGTGACTGATGAAAGAGATATGGAAATGACTTTTAATTCATGTAAATCAATTTGGAAGTAGTTTTATAGTGCTTGCATAGCTATGGGATGTTTTGAGTTAGAGTTGGCCTCTTGGCTTGCATTATGTGTCTCCATTAGGCATGCTTATGCCCATGACCTTTTATTCGACATGGTAGTCTAAGGTGAAGCACATGATCCAAATAAAAGGTGCTTGCCAATCAGATTTTTCCAGAAGTTTTGCGTGTAAATGCATCAACAAGAGGTCATAAGCAATCCATTTTTTATCAAGTGCTTGCCAATGATTTGAATAATTGGAGATCATAGATGAGTAATGTACTTTTCTTCCATAAGCTACTGTGCGATATTTTTTTGCTTTATAAATCTATCTGTGGGTACTGGACTTTGTTATTGGCAAATTTAAATGATTACGTGAATAGCGTTTCTGGTGGAAAATCTTCAGCTAACATAAATAATGTCTAGTTTAAATATTTTCAGTTCCTATCATTTATGTGTGTAGTGTATCTCTGTTAGGTAATGGCCATCATTGCAGATTTCATGCTTGTATATCTTCCAGCCCCAACTGTCTCTCTCCGACCTCCACTTGCACTCAATGCGGGAGCAATCACTAAGTTTTTCCATGGCTGCCCTGATAATGCCTTCCAGGTTACTTTCCTATGAATTATTGAATTTTTGTATTGGCAATTTGCCTTATAGATCAAATTAAAAGCCAGATACAGTTACTTATATGATTCTGAAATTCTGTCTGCAGATCGCTCTCTCTGGAACATCATACTCATTATTACAGAGGATTGGTGGAGTAGTGGTAAGTAGGCTTTTAGTAATGTGCTTTTATTTAATCTGAAGTTTGAGGTTAAGAGTCATATCAAATATTTCGTAACACCTCATTTGTTTGCGCAGAGAAACGGGGCCAAGCTCTTTGCTGTTGGTACTGCTTCATCACTGGTTAGTACTTCTGTAACTCCTTGTAATTGGTAATTTTAAATATTGTTTTGGTATTGATTAGTGTTCCACTTGTCCATGCATTAATACTTCGATGTGTTTGCATGTATATTTATGTTTTATTTTAAAGTGACAGTAATTCTCATGCATCATATTTCTTCTACCAGCTGAGACGTGTCCTGCAAATTGTGCATTTCTTCACAACTTCAATAGGACAAAATAAAAGGAAGCAATTTTTTATTTTTTATTTTTTTTGGTTTTGTTTTATGGAAAACCTGTGCTTGTGCGGTCTCTTTATAGAATTGTAAAAAATGTTTCTTCTCATCAATTTGTTTTTTTTCTCATTTTACATCCATCCTTATTGTTGCTAAAGAAAGGAGCAAAGTTCTTTTTCCCATCTGTGATGTGGTAAGCGTCCGTGCTTTCCTTTATTTTAGTTGTTAAGTCAAGTCAATTCTACTGGCTTGTGCTGGAAATGGTGAGAGAGCATCTGATTGTTAAAAATGTAGTGAAGCACTGAAGTTTGAGCTGAATGGCATAAAAGAATCTGTGTGGAGCCTTAGAAGTTTGCATTTTTCTTTCTACATGAATGCACAGTTGATTTTTTTCCCCCTAGATCTCAATACGATAATAATTTTGCTCCTAAGAGCATGTAAATTTAAGGCTAAAATTTTGTCTGGTTCAGTTAGATCAATGGTAACCATTCCAACTGTAGGGGCTAGTTTATCCTTTATGTTGTCACCATTGGTGGGAGTCTTGTGCTCTTGACCACCTTTGCTATGTGTGTTTTTACTGTGTTGGTACTTCCATAGATTATCCTTTATGTTTTATAAAATTAGATATCAACATAGCCTTTATGTTTTATAGAATTGGACACCAACATAGTTAACCAAAATTTTCTCTGAGACAATTGAAAAGTTCAATTCCCTATGAAATTAACGGTGGTCATCTAGCAGTAAGCATTTGATTTTAATTAGTCTTAGGAGTAATCTATTCTTTGTAGAGCCTTACATCCAAAGACTGGATTCATATCAACAGCCAAATTTATTCATTTATAAAATTTGAAGTAATAACCAATGCCTGGGTTGAACTTAAATACCTTATGACTAAGCCTGCATCAAATCTTGAACTTTATGACTTACGCATGGGGTTTCTGTTCTACACCGTTCTGCAACTGGCATGGGCATAGACACATACTCAAACATACATCTCATTTGGAGTTCTGCATGTGTTTGATGTGCTGTGCTTCTGTTGGTCCATTGTTCTGTTGTTGCATGTTAACCTAAATCCTAATGGAGTTGATGCTATAGGGTTACTAATTCCTTGATGTATATATATTTTTTAAATAATTTGAAATAGATTGTTTTAATTTTTTTTTTTTGGTGGGTGCTTTCACTAGTTCTCTCAATGATACTGGTTTAAAAAGATGGCAATGTTGGTCTTCTTAATGGCTAGTATTTGCTCCATTGTAGCTTTTATTAATATTGCATGACAATCTTTTTGCAAAAGTTTTTGCCTTACTCTATGCTAATTGATGTGACCCAGTATCTCTAAATTTGATGATACATAATGCATCTCATTTTTAATTAGGTTGGGACAGCTGTGACAAATGCGTTGATCAATGCAAGGAAGGCTGTTGATAAGGACAAAGCAGGTGAAATTGAGAATGTGCCGATAGTATCCACTAGCGTTGCATATGGTGTCTACATGGCGGTTTCTAGCAATCTCAGGTACTTCATTTTTTATCAGGATTAGTTTGCTGAGTATAGTGGGCATGATTTTTCTATTGGACAATGCATTTCCTGTTTCTAATTTTCTGAACTCCTTGCAGTTTTACCTTTTCTATAGAGTTGCAAATTTAACAAATTATGCATTTTAGATATGTTCTCTTCAAAAAAGTATGGTGGCAGTTTTATGTTGTTAAGCTTTTGAGCTGAGTGAAACATGTTATATTTGGTTTTGTATGTAAGTGTACAAAATCCATTAGGTGTAAATGTGTGAGCTGAGTGCTCAAGACTTATTTGAAAATGGTATCCAATAGATCGAATTATTTGAAAAAATAAAGGATAACTTAAGGCGTGACAAAAATATTAAGGGCAGATTTATATCAAATGCTTTGTAAATGGAATTACTGGCATTAGGAATTGCAGAATTCTTGGGAACTGCATGTATTTACCTAAATTCAAATTCTTTGTCAGGTACCAAGTATTGGCCGGTGTTATTGAACAAAGGTGTTTGGAACCGCTACTACATAAACACAAGCTCATGCTTAGTGCAATTTGCTTTGCCGTTCGGACTGGCAACACGTTCTTGGGTTCATTATTGTGAGAACTTTTGCCTTGTGAATTTTTCCGATATAACTGATTGTTATACCCTCACGAGTCACTGCTGACTACTTTACTTTGCAGGTGGGTGGACTATGCTCGTATGATAGGAATTCAGAAGGCTCATTAGTATACGAACTGCTGCATTTTCTTATTTTATAGAGTTTCTTGAAGGCGTGATTGTTGGTGTGCTGAATTTTACTCTGTTTCATAAATCGGGAAAAAACTGAGACAATTGAAGTTATGGGAGTTATAAGGTGCTAGGTTACTTAGGTTTTTTCCTCATGTATTTATACCGCTCGTGGCTGGGCAAACTTTTTCTGTTTACTTCTCTTGGTGTTGGGCGGATTTTGTTACAGAAATTCGAATAATGAAAAAAAAGGGCTTTAAATTTTTTAATGGAGTTTTGTGTAATTAGTGGAAGAGAGTTGTATGTTTGATCAAAACCAAAAGCTTTGAAACTACATCATGCAAATTGCACTAGTAACTTAAACTCTATCCGAAACAGATTAAAAAGATGAACAGAAACAAATTAATGAAAGTATATTGATTTAAAAAGTTATTTTAATAATTTTAGCCATATTAAAACTTTCCATTCATCAATTTATTTGAGAACAATTATATGTCGTAATAGTTTTCGGCGTAGCTTATTCTTTGCAATGAGGACATGATATGCGTACGTGGGTTTAGGTTTCTCTACAAGACGTTCCTCTTTTATTAAAGGAAAGATTTGCATAATGTGACAAGTTAGAGATACATTATTGCAAATCCATTCATTAAGAGCATTTTCACCTATTTGCCATGGTAAAGGCAAAGGAAGACAATGCCTGTTACTATTTATGTGAATAGTGCTGGCCCTTTCAAAAGGTAAGTTGTGTTTCCACCCATTGCCATGGTGAATGGCAATTACTATTTACTTTAAAAAAAATTTATTTTTTTATACTAACAATTAATTTGGATAAGATTTTTGGTTGCCACGTGTCTATATTTATTATAAAATTCATATCTCATATTTCGGATAAGATTTTCAGTTGCCACATGTCCATATTTATTATAAAATTCAAACCTCATATTTCAGATAAGATTTTCAGTTGCTACAATTGCACCATGTGTCATCTCTGTCTTCTAAATCCCTATATAAAACCACATCCTCAACTCATACCTTTCACACCATATCCTTTCTATCATTTCATTTCTAAGATTTTAGAAAACACATTCTACTCTCAATGTCTTACACGAAAAGGTTGTTGGACAAGCCGAGCGAGAAAATAAAGAAAGAATGCTCAAACGAGCTGAAGAAGAAAGGGAGTGGGAAGAAGATGATGATCAAGTTGTCATGACAGTGGATATGCTCCATCAATCAAGCCAACACCATCGTGGTTCACAACCTGGCCGTGGCCCGAATGTGGACAGACGTAGGTACTTTCGGGGTAAGAATCTCTTGGAAGATTATTTTATCCCAAATTCGTTGTACTCTAGTTTTGATTTTCGAGGACAATATAGAATGCAGCCCCATTTCTTCAATAAAACCATGCATGATGTTTGTAATTACGACATATACTTCTTTCAGAAGTACGATGCTACTAAGTTTTGGGTATTCTTCAAGAGCAAAACCTTACAGCTTCTTTACGGATGCTAGCGTTTTGCTCATCTGTAGACCAGGTGTATGAGATTGCAAGAATGAGGAAATCTACTATCCTAGAAAGCTTGGTCAGATTCTGTGATGCAATCGAAATTCTCTACACAAGGGATTACCTTTGCAAACCTATGCCTAGGGACCTCTAAAGGCTTCTACAAAAAGTTGAGGCTCGAGGTTTCCCAGGCATGATTGGAAGCATCGACTGCATGCATTAGAAGTGGAAGAATTGCCCAACTGCATGGCTAGGAGATTATGGGAATAGGAAAGGAGAAAAAAGTATCACTCTGGAAGTTGTTGCATTATTTGATATACTTGGGTTTGACATGCTTTTTTTAGAGTTATGAGATCTCAAAACAACTTTAACGTGCTCAGTCAATCTCCGGTGTTCAACGATGTGTTGAGAGGTCAAGTCCCTCAAATCATGTATCTACTTGGATGGGTACTACTAGCTACAACTCCGTGACTCATGTTGTGGGCACTGCTTCTTATATCCGTGCCTAATGAAAAATTTTATACTTTGTTTTTCGCAATATATGGTGGTGTTGACGTACTTTCGTTTAAAATACGAGTAGTAATGACAATATTTTATGTCTCTAGTGTGACAATAGGGACTGTTTTATGTCCCTTGATGTTTATTAGAGATGGAGATATAATATTTCGTTCTAATAGCATTTTCTAGGGACTGTTTGTGTATCTGTCTCTGTAAAAAGGTCCTTATTGCCCAATTTTCGAGTAATGTAGAGAGACATTGTTTCCAACTTTACCTATTGGTTGGTATTGGGTTCAATAGGTATTACCTGAAGTAGAGGTGCATATCAAAGATATACCTGTTTGTTGGGTACAAAGTTTCCTTTAACAAATTCAAGGTATGAACTTGAAATATGTATTTAATTATCTAGACAATAGGTAACTTCCGAAGATAAAAAAAGAGTGTTGTTAAACGAATCCTAAAATTAATTGAGTACATCCTATTACCAAACTATTTATTGAATTATTAATTTACCATAATATAAAATGACCAAAAAAGATATATTGAATTGTGAAACAAATGTAATTTTAATAAGTACAACATGCTCATCATATTCAACATTTATCAAACGCAAGCAAAAACCCAATGAAGATAGCAAATTAGCAATAGCAATGGATGGTTAGTATTATGCGAAGAGGTGTTGGAGGCATCAAAAGGAAAATATGGTACAAAATTGATAACTAAGGGTTTGTTTGATAACCATTTCAATTTTAGTTTCTAGTTTTCATTTTTTGTACTAGAGTATAGAGTGAAATGAGAGTGAGCATGAGACTGAGAGAGAGGATGAGAGGGGATGATGAGAGGGAGGAGTAACAAAAGTGAAAACAATTTTAAATAGATTTCAGGTTTTAGATTTTGTTTTCACTTTTGTTACTCATCCCTCCCATCTTCTCTTCTTATCTTCCCTCTGAATCCCATCTCCACTCTCATTCTTACTTCCATTCACCCTTTTTTCCCTCTATACTCTAGCACAAAAAATAAAAAATAAAAACTAAAATTGAAATGATTATCAAATAGGCCCTAAGACGTACAAGTAACTGCTTCGTGTTCGTGTCTCGTCCATGGTGTCCCATTTTTTCCGTCTCAAAGATATGAAGCAATGAAACCAGTCAAGATCGAACAAGCAAGCAAACAAAAAAAGTACGCTTCAACTAAATATTTATTTGTAATAATAGATTGTATAATATAATTCTGGTATACGAACGTTAGAGATCAAAACTGCTGATCACCAAATACATGCTATGATTTTCAATTAACCAATTATTATTGGGAGGAATTGCAATGGGTGAACAGGGATCTGGGGATTCAATTACCCAAGATTGAAAGATGAAGCAATCTTATCGCACTGCCTTCACTATGATTTTCTGTCTCAGGACTCTTAATCATACATTATTGATACGAATTCAATGGGTGACATAAGTCCTTCTACCTAGCATCCTCGGATAAATGATTGCAGAGTTCGTCAGTGTGGTCCCCTCTTTGAAAACAACTGCTGCCTCCATCTGATGGACTGTTCGGCAGCCAGTTTTCGAATTGGTTTAGTGTTATGGTAGAGTGTATTATGATGTATCAAGGGTATTTTTAGTAGTTAAATTATACTTTGTTAATATTATATTTTGATTTAAATAATAGGGTGATCAAAAGGTGCACTCAGTTAATTTAGGGTTCGTTTAATAACACCCTAAAAAAAGTTCATGTCATATTACATGTCACATCAGTTAGTATCAATAAGTTGGTATAATAGTTGGTGCCCGTGGAATTATTGTTATCTAAAATTGAAACTAAAACTAACGTCCAAGAGTAATTAACTAACTTATTTTCATTCAAGAATTCAATCTTTAATGAAGGTAAATGTCAAAATATTCATTTTTTTTTTCCTTTCCATTTTTCGGTTGTGATAAACATCGTTTTTTGTACAATTAGGCTATAATTTCACCCTCCATGCAAGCTCTGTATATAACTTGAGTAGTGTTAATGTTAGGTGCATATGCTATATCACAGCAGTCTTTCCCCCTGGCCTGAAAAGTAAGAAAGTATAAACAACATAAGACACGAACAAGTATAAACATATATATACTTAGAACGATCACGCAAAAAATGAACCACGATGTGGCAGATCTATTAAGGCACAAGGAGGTGTAGCTGTACCTCTCTTTATCGGAAAAACTATTGTAGGTGCTTCAAATTGCCCATTTGCTCAGCTGGTGGTGGTGTACAGATTACGTTATTTCTATTTTCAACATTTAAATGTCTTTAAATGTCTTTGTCATTTTACTTTCATTTATTTTTATATTACTCCATTTACTTAAGTTTACAATGTAAATAAGGAAGTATCCTCCATTTGGATTCAAATAAAAATACTAGAAAATCAAATTCCCACCAAATCAAAATATGAAAAATCGGTTTTAGTGCAAAATACAATTTAGGCTAAAAATGATAGCTCATTAAGTCAATATATTCTTCACAATAAAATCCCATAAAATCAAATTTTCTTATTTGATGTGTAAAGAGTAAAAGCCGCCAAAAATTATCTTAAGAAAATTATTATTCCGAAAAATCATTTTTCATACTTAGTCAATATTTTTACATAAAACAATTTTTCATGTATGATATGAATGCATGAAGTGACCTAAAGTCAATCTAGATAAAAAGCCTTAGATGTTCAATCCACAAAGAGTTTTTAGCCTTTCAAAATTGCACCTCAACTAAAAAATTTCCAGGTCCGCCAGTAACGATGGGATCAAGAGATGACATTGTAGAATAGAAGGAGCCCGAATGGTTAGCGCTATATTGACTTACCAGCTGGTTATCGCTCAAGCACTATATAATATATACTTGTACTCATGAAAGGCAGTGACAAATTAAAAGCTGACCTCCAAACGTATTGCAGGCAAAGTAACCTGAATTTTGGTGATAAAATCCGCCGAGTGGTTTCCACTTGAAGAACAAGGTGGCAAACCACGTGCAGCTGTTCGTGAATAAGTTGTAACAGTTTGGTCTCCTTTAACATTCTCATCAATAGAATCAAAGGAAAACAGATGAGGAGCTTGACATGGATCATTGTAAGTTAGCCGGGTGTTGAACATGTAGAATGGCGGTCTTGTGTTCTTCCAAGGCCTAAATGTCTCGAGGGGTCTCCGTAAAATGCTCAGGGGAATTATATTATCATAAATGTGAGCAGAATAGCCCCATGAGACTGAGAAAGACCAATTGCTTGGTCTGTGGTAGCAGATGATTTGTTGAAGAAGACGAGAAGGGTCAACTTTTGCTGGCCTCATGAGGTGGTTAATGGACTCAGAGCGGCTCATGAAGGGGAATATTGCGTCTATGGTGTCAATGTGGTGGAGGGAGAGGAGAGGAGAGGTGTATAAGTGTATTAGCTGAGTATTTGTATTGAATTAAGTGAGAACCATTGGATCACAGTCCAATGGACAGCTAAGATGTATTCTTAGTTGTATCAAATTATGCCAGGTGTTGCTATCTCATAGGATAGTTAAATTGATGGTTAGATTTGAATGATGTAAACAGGGAATATACTATTCCCAAACGGTTATTGTACTGCACAGCTTGTGCGTGACTAAGTGAGAGAATAGACCCAATTTTTCTCGTCTTCCTCTCCAAGCTCTCTCTTTGTTTTCTCTTCTCACCTAAGCTCCTTCTACCAATAATCCAAATAAATCATATCATAGCCTGAGTTTTCTAACATGGCCTCAGAGCCAGGTTTGATTGTTTAAGCTGGGCGTTTGAATTTGTGAAGAAAGTGAGCTGCGTTTTTTGACGACCTTGCTTTCTTGGAGATCTATGTCTAATATGGCAGGGTCTGGAGGTGGTGAGCTACGAGCTCCGATCTTCAATGGTGAGAACTATGAGTTTTGGAGCCTAAGAATGAAAACTATTTTCAAATCTCATGGGTAATGGGAACTTGTTGAGAAAGGGATAGAGAGCTCAGATTCGAAGGGTGCCGATGAATCTGATGAGAAGAAGAAAGAAAAAGAGGAATCGAGTGGTGCTGGGAAGATGATTCTCACTGAGATCCTGATGAAAGATGCTAAGGCTTTGGGGCTGATTTAGGGAGCAGTTTCTGATGAGAATCTTCCCTAGGATTTCTCATGAAGAATCGTCTTAAGCAAGAATTTTATGGTGATAAGCAGGTAAGGAGTGTCAAGTTACAAAGTCTCCGTAGAGAATTTGAATATACTAGAATGAGAGAGGATGAATCATTATATGCTTATCTTACAAAATTGTTTGATCTGATAAATCAAATGAGAGGCTATGGAGAAGAGTTTTCTAGAGAAAGAATTGTGCAGAAAATATTAATTAGTCTGTTGCCTTTGTATGATCCTATTTGTTCTGTAATTGAGCATTTGAGGGATCTAGGTGCAATTGAGGTTCAAGAGGTGGTTGCCTCATTGAAAAGCTATGCACAAAGGTTGGAGAGACATCATGAGAACAAGACTCAGAAGGCTTTTGCTAGTCTGAATGTAGATTCCTAATCAGCTAAGGTCACTGGAAATCAGAATAGCAAGCATCAGAAGAATTGGAAGGATAAGGGCAAAAAGTGGGATAACAAACCTGCTGATGGAACTAAAAATTCTTGCAAGCATTGTGGGAAATTGCATTTTGGAGAGTGTCGATTCAAGGGCAAGCCAAAATGCTATAACTGTGACAAGTTTGGCCACATAGCAAAAGACTGCTATAGCAAGAAACCAGTGCAGCAACTTCAGTATGCTGCTCAGGTAACCTCTACACCAAATGTGTTCTATGTCAATAATGCAGCTGACAAAAGGTCCATGGAAGATGTATGGTATTTGGACCGTGGGTGTCGTAACCATATGACTGGTAGAGAAGATGTTTTGACTGATATTGATAGGAGTATAACGGTAAAAGTTGCAATGGGGACATGACAGTTGGTCAATGTTATTGGAAAAGGAAGCTTGACGGTTGAAACTAAGATGGGAAAAAGATATATTAAGGAGGTGCTGTTAGTATCTGGTCTCAAGGAAAACCTACTCAGTGTTGGACAGATGATGGAGCATGGATATTTCCTAATTTTTGGAGATAACAAGGCAGAAATTTATGATGATTGCTCACTATCTAATCTGGTGGCTAGGGTGCAAATGAAGGGAAATAGAAGTTTTCCTTTGAAACTTCAAACAGACTTACATTTTGCTCTAAAAGCAAGCATAAGTCAATCAACATTGATTTGGCATAGGAGAATGGGACACTTAAACTTCCAAAGCTTGAATCTACTGCAGAATGAAGATATGGTACTCGGTCTGCCAGAAATTAAAAATACAAGTGAAATGTGTAAGGGGTGTACTTTTGGAAAACATTGCAGGAAGTCTTTTCCAAAAGAAGCAACCAGCAGGGTCACAACTCCACTAGAATTGGTACACACTGATGTGTGTGGACCAATGCAAACTGTTACAAAAGCAGGAAACATGTATTTTCTTACCTTTATAGATGACTGTACTCGAATGTGCTGGATCTATTTCTTGAGATACAAATCTGAGGTATTAACTGTGTTTAAGAAGTTTAAGGCTACTGTTGAATTGCAAAGTGGTTATAAGCTTAAGAAATTGAGAAGTGACAGAGGGGGAGAGTATACCTCTAATGAGTTTAATAGATTTTGTGATGAAATGGGGATGGAGAGGCAGCTTACAGTGGCATATTCACCACAGCAGAACGGTGTAGCTGAGAGAAAGAACAGAACCATAGTGGAGATGGCTAAGTGTATGATGTTTGAGAAGAGAATGCCACTTGAGTTTTGGGCAGAAGCTGTTAATACTGCAGTGTATATTCTAAATCGATGTCCAACTAAAGCTTTGGACAAGGAAACGCCATTTGAAGCCTATAGTGGAAGAAAACCAAGACTTAAACACTTAAGAGTGTTTGGTTCTCTGTGTTATGCACATGTTCCAAACCAACAGAGACAAAAACTGGACTTGGCAAGCAAAAGGTGTGTGTTTCTAGGATATGGCAGTTGTGAGAAGGGGTATAAACTGTATAATATTACCACTGGAAAGGTGATTATCTCAAGAGATGTGGTATTCAATGAAGATGCTAGTTGGGATTGGAATGCACAGCAAGAATGCAGTGTGTCCATTCCACTTACCGAAATGGTGTCTGAAAAGGAGAAAGGGATCAATGACACAACTGCGATGCAAGCAGAAAACTCAGTTGAAAATGATGTGTTATTAGAAGACAATGAAGAAGAATTTGCAGTTGACACAGGGTCGCATGATATTGATCATACTCCATTGAAATACAAAAGTCTTACAGAGGTATATGAGAGATGCAATATATGTATCATTGAACCAGAAACTTTTGAAGAAGCTATCAAAGATGCATCATGGGAAAAGGCCATGGAAACTGAGCTTGAGATGATTGAGAAGAATCATACTTAGGAGTTGGTAAAAATGTCATCTAAAAGCCTATAGTTGGAGTCAAATGGATCTATAAAGTCAAGCTAAATCTTGATGGGTTAGTTCAGAAAAACAAAGCAAGACTAGTAGCTAAAGAGTACACTTAAAAGCCTAGAATAGACTTCAACGAGACATTTGCACCAGTTGCTCGACTTGATACAATTAGAACATTAATTGCTTTAGCTGCTCAAAGAAGGTGGCAGCTGTTCCAGTTAGATGTGTAGTCGACATTCTTAAATGGAGTGCTACATGAGGAAGTGTATGTGAATCAACCTTCAGGATTTGAGATTAAAGACAAGGAAGATAGAGTTTATAGACTCAAGAAGGCCTTGTATGGTCTTAAACAAGCTCCAAGAGCTTGGTATGAAGAAATCAACTCATATTTCACAGCTGCAGGATTTCAGAGAAGTCCTAGTGAGGCTACATTATATGTGAGAACTGCTGAAAGTGGAATTCTCATAGTTTCTCTATATGTAGATGATATTATCTACACAGGAAGTTCAGAAGAATTGGTGATGAGTTTTAAAACTGAAATGATGAAGAAATATGAAATGACTGATCTCGGATTATTGCACCATTTTTTTGGTTTAGGTGAGATACAAGCTGAGTCCTACATCTTCTTGCATCAGAAAAAATATGCAAGAACATGATTGGACAAGTTTGGTTTCAAAGATTGTAAAGCGGTTGCAATTCCACTTGCTATGAATGAGAAATTATCAAAGGAGGATGGAAGTGAACAAGTTGATGAAAGGGTGTATAGACAGATAGTTGGAAGCTTATTATATATGACAGCAACAAGGCCAGATATCATGTTTGCTGCAAGTCTCTTAGCTAGATATATGCATGGACCTACAAGGAAGCATATGGGGACTGCCAAGAGAATACTTAGATACATTCAAGGTACTCTTGACTATGGCATAGCATATGAGAAGGGAAAAGAAGCAATGCTTGTTGGATATTGTGATAGTGATTGGTCAAGATGTGAAGATGATATGAGCAGTACTTCTGGCTATGCTTTTTGTGGGAGCAAATTTCGTCCCACAAGAATATTCGCCTAAGATTCCTTCGTCTTCTCCACTTCTCTTTCTCCTTGCAAAACAGATCGGGGTAAAAGGACCATACCCGGGGGGTGTTGGCCTTGTGTCAGAGAGAGAAAGAATATGGTGGCTAGGGTTTTGGAGAAATGATTTCTGCAGAGTTTCAGTAGGAATTTAGACGTACCTTCACCTTTGTGTGTGACCATCCTTTTATAGTGGTCTTGGAGGCTTGGGTTTCAGAGGAATAATTCCGTAGATGGAAAGGAATTATTCCTCCCCGATTTGGAATTGATTTGCTTAATCAGGGATTTGATTTATTAGGGTAAATCAAATCCCTAATTGTGGTAGGTATCAAATCAAATCCTAATTTAATTAGGTAACTCTTCATTTAATTGGGAATTGGGGTATCAATTCTCAATTTAATTAGGTAATCCTCAATTAAATTGAGTAACTCCCAATTAGGTTGAGTAATTCCCAATTAGGTCAAATAATCCCCAAATGGAAGGAATTATTTGACCTAGGGTCTGATTTAATTCGATTCCCACAAATGCCCCCCAGCTTCTGTATGGCACGTGGTGGCATGTAGGAGATGTGAAATATCTGTTGGGCTGTCCAGCTGTAACTGGGCTTCCTTCTTGGACTTGGGCTTCTAAGTGGAAGAGGTCTTTGACTTGCCACTTTGGTCTTTTGACTTGGGCTGTCCAGCTGTAACTGGGCTAGAGTCAAGCCAGCCTGCTGTTGGAGCAGGTGGCAGTTTGTGTCGGCTTATTTGTGGTTGATCCAAACTGCTTCAATTCCTTCTTCTTTTTGTGTCACGAACTAGGAACAGTATGAGTTAAGGTGATCATGTGTGGAGCACGGACATGTTGGAAGTCAGCGGCAGATGGGTAGGGGAGGATGACGAC